GTCCTTTAATTGGAAAAAACTCCCCCTGCGCCCCTCGGGCGCGGAAAAAGGAGGTGTGACAGTTTCTATAAATTGTTGATAATGACTTTGTTTGTTGACTCAGCTTGCCCATTACCCACCAGATGATAAGATGTGGATGTAATCCTTTTGATTTGCCAACTTTGAAAGAACTCTATGATTTGAGTGCCTATAAACTGAGGGCCATTATCACACACGATTTTCTTTGGCACACCAAATCGGCATATGATATTCCGCCAAATGAAATCTCTAACTTCCTTTTCTCGCACCTGTTTGAATGCTCCCGCCTCCACCCATTTAGTAAAATAATTAGTGAGTACGAGCAAAAATTTTACCTGACCTTTTGCTTGTGGTAATGGACCCATGATATCTATCCCCCACTTCATAAATGGCCATGATGCAATGACCGGATGTAGTAACTCCGCAGGCCTATGCATATTATTACCGTACCTTTGGCATTTATCACATTTAGCCACGAAACTTTTCGCTTCTTCTTCAATTTTGGGCCAATAATAACCTGCCCTAATTAAGGTTCTTACCAATGATCTTCTTCCTGTGTGATTTCCACAATGCCCCTCGTGTATTTCTCTCATTACGTATTCTGTCTGAGAAGGTCCGAGGCATCTTGCTAAGGGACCACCGAACATTTTTCGGTAAAGATTGCATTGCTTTAAGCAATACCAAGCAGCCTTTTTCGAAGCACATGAACTTTTTTCTTATCTTTAGGGACGGTACCATACTGCAAAAAAGCAACAATCTCGTTCCTCCAATCCCAAGTTAAGTTATTAAACATTACCTCATTCTTATAGGGGTCGAGAACTGAATGAAATAAATGAATAACTGAAGCATTTTCATTGCTTGCCACATCTGCCGCAGATGCAAGATTAGCTAAGGCGCCGGCTTCAACATTTTCATCCCTTGGTATTAGTGTTATTTTCCAAGTTTGAATTGCTTTATCAAATCTCGTACCTTCGCTAAGTATTGCTGCATCCTTGCTTCCCTGGCCGTATAAGTTCCCAGCATTTGATTAACTACGAGCTGTGAATCGCTTTTGATTATAATCTGATTTATGCCAAGTTCTCGTGCCAGTTCTAAACCTGCAATCACAGCTTCATACTCTGCCTCATTGTTAATTATAGAATGACATTTTATGGCTTGTCGAATGGTTTCACCCGTAGGTGGTACCAAAACAATCCCTAAACCAACACTCTTTACGTTAGATGAACCATCAGTAAATAAGTTCCAACTTCCCGGGTTAGCTCCATTGAACACTGCAACTCTTTTTCTATTTCTAGTTGCATCCCTTGGCTAAAATTAGCGACAAAATCAGCTAACACTTGAGATTTTATAGCAGTTCTAGGTTGGTAGGTGATATCATATTCACTTAATTCTATAGCCCATTTAGCTAACCTACCTGACAATTCATGCTTATGTAATATATTGCGTAATGGATAAGCAGTTACTACAGCAATAGGATGACATTGAAAATAAGGCCTTAATTTTCTAGATGGCATGATTAATGCAAGTGCAAGCTTTTCCAACTGAGGGTACCGTGTCTCTGCATCTAACAAAGATTTGCTAACATAATAGATCGGAGATTGTTTACCTTGGTCCTCACGGACTAAAACAACACTTACCGCTACTTCTGAAACAGTAAGGTAGATGAGCAGTCTTTCCCCAACCTTAGGTTTTGCGAGCAACGATGGATTTGATAAATATAACTTCAAATTTTTGAGTGCCTGCTGACATTCCTCGTTCCATTCAAAGTGATCTTGCTTTTTAAGAGCTGAAAAGAATTTAAGGCACTTTTCTAATGATTTAGAAATGAATCTTCCCAAGGCTGCAATTCTTCATGTCAACCTCTGCACTTCTTTTTTGCTTGAAAGCATATCAGGAATTTCCTCAATGGTCTTAATCTATGCGAGATTCACTTCATTACCACGGTTAGAAATAAGAAAACCCCAAAACTTACCTGACGCGACACCGAAGCACATTTCTCTAGATTTAATTTCATATTAAATTTGCGTAAAATCTGAAATGTATTAGACAAGTGTGATATATGATCTCTCGAATGCTGAGTTTTAACGAGCATATCGTCTATATAAACCTCCATGGTTTTTCCCAGATGTTCTTGAAATATTTTAGTAACCAGCCTTTGATATGTTGCACCAACATTTTTTAGACCAAAAGGTATTACTTTATAATAGTAAGTCCCCCTGTCTGTTATGAATGAAGTTTTTTCTTCATCTACCGGATCCATTTTGATCTGATTGTACCCTGAATATGCATCTAAAAAACTTTGTAGTTCATGCCCTGCAGTAGCATCAATTAGCTGATCTATATGTGGTAGCGGAAAAGAATCTTTAGGACAAGCTTTATTAAGGTCTGTGTAATCCACACAAACTCGCCACTTACCATTCTTCTTTGGAACTACAACAGTATTGGCTAACCAATTAGGATATTTTACCTCGCGGATGGATCCAATCTTTAGCAATTTTTGAACCTCTTCTTGAATCACCTGATTCTTGAAAGTAGGGGTGGGCGTTCGGTATTTCGGTTTGGTATTTAAGAATTTCGGTTCGGTATTTCGGTATTCGGTTTATCGATTGTGTATACCAAATACCGTACCAAACTATTTTGGTACAGTTCGGTATTTCTTATTTTGGTTTGGTACGGTTTCGGTTTAACAATCAATGCTAAGTGCTAACAGTGCACATGGACAATTGAAATTTTCACTCTAAAAGAATATGTTTTTTGATATATAACACTATAACATATTAACACTAACAGTGCACAACTGCACAACCACAATGTGCACATGGCTGAAAGCCTGAAACAAGAATAACATCTGCAGTTGCAACTTGCAAAGGCAACCTTGCACGCCAGTATACTGAACTCAATGTCAATATTGTATGTCATACAAACTTGCAAATTTGCAATGAATCTGGCGTATACTGTAGTTGGCAAAAGCTGGCCAACTGCACAATGCACATTACTGATTACACAACTATATTAAACAACTTAAAGTCTTAAACACAGTTAAACACTTAACACAGTCCAACAAGTCCAACAACTTAAACACAGTTAAACAAGTTAAACACAGTCCAACAAAAACAGTCTTAACCCTTAAGTATTAACACTTAAACACAGTGCAACACTGCAACTGGCCAACTGCAAGTCTGCACAGTCTTAACACTTAAACAGTTAAACATAGTGCAACAAAAAACAGAGAGGGCATCCCTCAACAAACAGTCTTGAGCAGTAGCACGGCCTCACGGGGCGTTGAGCAGTAGCACGGGGCATGATTGCACTTGAACCTAAGCTATGTGAATAGAGTGTTCAACCAAATCTGTTATAACACGACCAAGAGTAAGCAAACTCTTATTGATTTCTGCCGCTTCTCTTGCACGAGCCTGAATTCAAACAGATATAGTTGTTGTAAGTTGGATTCGCTTTATCAGGGTTAATCCATACAAGACTTGTTACCACCATTCCAGAAGACGCATATAAACCATTCCAGGGTTAATCTATGTTGTGCTTTTGGGCCAAAAACCTGGTAAATAGCATATCTTTAAGACAGCTCCTAATGCTAACATTCTTAACATGTCATCCATCCATTTAATGAACAAAATGCTGCTATAAAACAAAGAATTATACCTTGTCAAAAGTGAATATTTTGTCTACTTGCTTGTTAGCTACATTTTGTAAAACAGAAACTTCTCTTTTACTTTCATTACATGTCATGGCCTTTGGAACATTAATCCTTTGCTCATCATCATTCAATGGCCTGAAACAACAACAACAACACTAAGACTTGTCAAATGAAATTTGTAGCATTTGTTTTTTTTTGAAGCCAATGTGTAAGAACATCAATCAGCAACAATGCATCCAATCCTAAGCCATTGATGTCCATATTGAGGTGTGTTTTTCCACATTCAATTTTATAAGCACATAACGATAATAAAAAAAAACAGGTTTACAGCATATAAATCATGTCCTGAAATATGATTTCAACCAAAAGAATAGAGTCCAAGTGTCTGTTGTTAGGCAAATTTCAACCGGGGCGACTAAAAGAATAGAATGTTCAACCAAAGAGAGCATTCTGCTATTGTTAGTTGCTCTGCTCATATGGTAAAGATCTAAAAATCAGACATAAACAAAGTAATCATATGGTAAGCCTAACACATAGTCGTGTACTCACAACTATTATTATACAAGCAAATGAATTAAACAGCATGAAGCCATGAACGTGATACAGATTACAGAATATAGATGATATTTTCCTACTAAAGGGAAAAGCTCGGAACAGCAGTTCATTCAATCAGCAGTACAACCAAAAGAAAGCGAAACAACAAACCTCTGAAATTGAGGAGTGAGGAATCGAATCAAGCTGGAAATCGTCTCCTATAACCCTAAATTAGTTTGATGCAGAAAATCAGAAATTAAAAAATTTATGCGTCTGAACTCTGAACTCAAAAAGTTCAAAACTTAAAAATGTAAAAACTCAAACAAAACCTCAGAGAGTAGTCGAGTACTAGGATGAGATCATGAGAATGAGATGAGACTTATAAAACTTACAAAAGTAGTGAAGTTAACCGGTGAAGATGAGATGAGACTCGAGCTCGAATGTCGACTGGTCGTAACTCGTAGAGACGTAGACTGATATCCTAAGTAGTCAATTCTCGTCTAGAATCGCAGACTGATAAGTGATATCCTAGACTCGCAGTCGATTCTCGTCTCCTTCTCGATGAAATGGCTAAGCACTGAAGAGCGAAGACTCTGAAGCAGTAAGCAAGTCCTAATGAAATGCCTAATTTGATTCAAGACTTGGGTCTTGGGTTGGCCGGTTGGGTACTTGGTTATTGATTGGGATTGGGCTTGGGTTGGGAGTTGGGGGAGCTGGGCCTGGGTGGGAGTGGGACGCTGGGATGGGGCATGGCCTGGCCGCATGGGCCTATAAAATAGGTAATTGGGCTTAGTCGTTTAGATTATTTCGGTATTTCGGTTTACCAAATTTGTAAAATTATAAAACCGAAAACCGAACCGAAATACCGAAATTTCATTACCGAATTAGACCGAAAAACCGAAAAAACCGAAACCGAAATACCAAATTAATTTGGTTCGGTTCGGAATTCGGTTTTTCGGATTTTTTGCCCACCCCTACTTGAAAGTTCCTTGCTTTCTTTTCTTCTGTTTGATAAGAAGGTACGTTGGGTCTTCATTCAATTTGTGAGTCATTACCTCTGGGGGTATTCCTGTCATGTCAGAGTGGGACCAAGCAAAACAGTCCACGTTGGTTTTTAAAAATTCAATTAACTTACCTCTCATGCTTTGGCTTAGATTGGCCCCTACATAGACTTTCTTATCAGGCCATTGTGCAAATAATATCACAGACTCCAGTTCTTCAATTGTTGTTTTGATATTTTCGTTTTCTTCTGGTTCTTGAATGGTATCAGGCCTTGAATCCACATCTGTCTGCCCTTGTTCAGTTGAGGTTTGTGCAGTGGTGCCCTCAACTGTCTTCTGTGATTGCTATTTTTCTTCTTTTTTCGTACTTGAATTTGCTACAGAGTTGATGCTCCTGGATGTATGTTGATCTCCACGGATTTGACATGTTCCCCATGGTGATGGAAATTTAATAACTTGGTGTAAGGTTGAAGGAACGACATCCATTTCATGGATCCATGGTCTCCCAAGGATCATATTGTAAGCCATCTCCATCTCTACTACTTGAAACTTTGTATCTTTGACAACTCCTTCTGCGAATGTGGTGAGTGTTACCTCTCCTTTCGTCACAACACTAGAATTGTCAATTCCAGATAAAGTATGCGCTTTCAGTATTAATTTATCCTCAGCTTGCATCTCTCATAATACTCTTAGCAAAATAATGTTCACGGAACTGCCTGGATCAATCAAAACTCGTCTCACATTAGTATCATGTACAATCAAAGATATTACCAGGGCATCGTTATGAGGAGATAATACGCTATCCGCATCAACATCATCAAATGTAATATTGTCTTCCTCTAATACATGTCGCACCCGTTTCCCTTAGGTAATTGTGACTTTGGAAATTTTATTAGCTGCAATGTACGTTACGCCATTGATGTCTTCACCTCCGCTTATAATGTTGACGGTCCTTTTGGGAGAAGGTGGTTTAAGGGGTTCCTACCTATTCTTCATGTAAGCTTGCTTACCTTTCTCACTGAATAACTCGGTGAGATACCCTTGTTTTAATAAATGATCAACTTCACTTTGTAAAAATCTACAGTCTGCTGTTTTATGCCCGTGATCATTATGAAACTCACACCAATGATCAGGGTTGCACCTGTTTGGATTCGATCTCATCTCTTTTGGCCACCGTACCTTGTCACCCATGCTTCTCAAAACAGCTACGAGCTCGGAAGTGCTCACATTGAAATTGTAACCGCCAAATCTCGCCTTCAAATTTCTATCATCATCTCGTGACTTATGGGTGTTTCGATCATTCCTAAATCTTGATGAAGAGCGTGACTCTCTATTTCTTGATATGTGATCATACCTTTGATTATCTTGTGTTGACCGTGAATCTTTTCCCGCATGTCCCATGTATGGCTCGTACCTATTTTTACCGAACCTTTTTTCGGTTTTCGCCCGTCTCGAACTTACTTTTTCTTCTTTTTGGAATCGTGGAACAATATCTTCTTCTCTCCTTAGCTTCGTGCTATACCTGTTGTAAACGTCATTCCATGTTGTAGCTGGGAATTCACGAAGACTTTCCTTGAGTCGCCTCGTAGCTTCTGAGCTCTTTTCATTCAAGTTACTTGTGAAAGCTAAAGCTGCCCAATTATCATGTACACATGGTAATGTCATTCTTTCACATTGGAATATGTCAACGAACTCCCTAAGCAATTCTGAGTCCCCTTGCTTGATCTTGAAAATATCTTCCTTTTTTCGACTTTTTGAGCTCCCGAGTGTGCTTTGATGAAAGAATCTGCAAGCTCAGCAAAAGAATTTATAGAATTTTCGGGCAAAAGAGAATACCATGTCAATGCACCCTTGGTGAGTGTTTCACCAAATTTTTTGACTAATACTGATTCAATCTCCTGCTTGGTCAAGTCGTTGCCTTTGACGCCTGTTGTGAAAGCAGTCACGTGGTCTCGTGGGTCTGTTGTTCCATCATATTTAGGAATATCAGGCATTTTGAATTTCTTTGGAATTAGGAGGGGAGCAGAACTTGGCTTCCAGGGTTGTTGCGAATATTTATCCGTATCTATCTCTTTGATTACGGGCGGCACCCCGGGTATTTGCTCTATGCGGTCACTTTGCTCCTTGAGCTGTTTCTGCAATGTTAGTACTAAATTTTGTAAATCAGAATTGACTAAGTTACTTGGTTCTCCCTCCTGTGATTCGTTGGGGGTTCCACCGGTACCAGAATTAACAAGCTTGGAACGAGGGTTCTCCAAAGTGTTGTTATTTGCAGGTAACTGGCTAGCAAAAGCCTCAAGAGCTTTATTGACCTGTACAACAATTAATTTATGCAAAGCTTCATCGATAGCTTCAACATTTTCAAATTGAGAGTTTCCATTTGTATGAGATCCATCAAAAGAGCCTTCACGAGACCGCCGAGGAGAGCCTCGTGGAGAAGGGGGCGGGGTTTGATTACCATGTGGATTTCCCTGAAGTTGTTGGTTTCCTTGAATGTTGTCATTGTTGTTCGACATGGTTGATGCAATAAGGAAAGTTAAGCTAAAAGAGGTTAGATTATCAGATTCCCGGTAATGGAACCAATTTGTTTAACCAAAAAGTGGGATTTCGGTCAAAGCGATAATTTAGAAGAACTCGGGTTACTGATAATCAAAGAAAGTATAGAAGAAAGTAATTTTACTAGCAATGATATAATCAGAAGAAAACAAGTAAGCCAGTATATTCAGATAGTTTTTTGTGTGTGTTACAATTGACCCACTCTCCCCCTTTTATAGCTATTTTGGGGATATGCATTTTGCCTTTGTCATAATAAGGTCATTATGGATAATTAAAGACATTAAATGCTACGTTACATAATCATTGCATTTAATACAGATTCTCTAACGTTTTTAGTATTTAAGACTCTATAAATATTATATCTATACTTCCATGTAGTGTCAGATTCATTCCCCTTAATTCTTGGACTTAAATAAGTACGAGCGCTGAGTCTTTTATATGACCGCTCGTGCCTCTTTCTTTGCCTCTGCTCGTATCTGTTGTAACTCGTGTCTTTTTGCCAGTTGTAACTCTTTGACCAGTCTATGTGTCATGACACGTCATCTTTACACCACTTTAATATGTAAACTCAATTTTTTCCAATACAAGCATGGTAAATACTTATTTGTATTACACCAGAACCAGAAGTTCTAGCTAATAATTAGCTTCTATATAAGTCAAATATAATTAAGAGAAAAAATATCTTGTATGCATAAATTTTGTATAACATCATTTAGGCTTTAAATTAAATTATATCATGACATTACAAATTGCAACGTGAATTATGTGCGTAAGATCACATCACAAAGTTGGTTTTTCGGTAGAAATAATACTGTTTGGCATGGACACGTGTAAGGACATGTTTGGTATTAGCCAATACGGAATCAATGAGAAAGCTAGTCTTTATCCAACCCACTTCCCAGCCCTGCAGTCACAGACAGATACCTTTTTACGTTATTTTCTTCTGTCATGTTGAGAAGGGCATCAGAATTCTTCCCAATTTAAGCAGTGATAATTTGAAAGCAGTACGACTCCATTTATGAGCGAACAAATTTTCTACGTACGTACCCACCCACTTACGCAGGTCTTCCACGTGTTAATCAGTTTCGTCCTGCTTCTGCTCACGGAATAAAGTTTCTCAAAATTTACGAAGACGTTGCTTTTTGTTCATGCTAGTAAAAGAAATATTTACCTAATCACTTAACTAGTTTTGATCATAGATTCTCATATTTGTTTTGAGTGAAATTTAATTTGAAGATGAAAATATGTTTGGACATATATTTTTAAAACATATTTCCCAAATTTATTTTGGAAAAACATGTAGGACTCATTTGGTCATAGATTTTGCCAAAATAAATTTGGGCTTTATTTGTCAAACACATGTTTGAACATAGATTTTTCCTATATTTTGGCAAAATCCCAAATCCCAAAACCAGCTCAATAGCTGATTATGGCCTAATAATATGCATATTTTTGGGGGAAGTGCACGGTTAGCCACTAATAACAGATGTATTTACTTTTAAGTCACTGTTTAAAATGTCTTTAGCCACTGTTTAATAAACTTTAACTGCCCCGACAAAAATACCCTTCTACTCATTTCCTTAACTTTTGAACTTAACTTCAGGACTACATATCCTTAACTTTTGAACTTAACTTCAAGACTGCATGTCCTTAACTTTTGAACTTGTAACTGTAAGTTCAGGACCAAATCTCCTTAACTTTTGAGTTTGTTAGTCTAAGTTCAGGACCTATTGTTGCTTCTTAGCCTAAGTTCAGGACCTATTGTCCTTAACTTTTGAGTTTGTTAGTC